TTATATCGATATTTACACGATATATAGAATATACCTACGCGTTTATTTATTCTAAGGCATTGGTATCGCCTTTATTAGACCGAATCTTACATGAGAAGAGATGAAGAATGGCTTCCTGTGGGCTTTTTGAGTTCCAAGATAGATTTCCATGCTAATTTGTCTCCGACAGATAGAGAATTGATAGCGCTAGCATATGGGTTTTTGAAGTTCGCGGGTTTGATTAGGAGATCGTACGAGGTGCTTATAATAGAGATGAATCACCAGCCTTTGATTGGTGTGGTTCAGCAGGTAGAGTTCACGTCGGACCCAGTGGGTAAGAGACGGAACAGGAATGTTATGTATGTACGATCGTTTGATATGGATCTACGGTACCTGGAAGGGCCAAAGAACAAAGTTGCGGATGGACTTAGTCGTATGCCGTGGTGGTTTGATGCTATTATGGTGCCTGTGTCGGTAGATGGTGTTAAGTTCGCTGCATGTGCAAAAATGGGTCTGCCAGAGATTGATGAAGGTGTGGATTTGTCATTTGATAAGGTCTGCAAGAGTGTGGAAGACAAGAGGTCCGGCTGGCGATGGTTAAAGAAAAGCTGCGAGTGTTAGAGGAGAGTCTTGATGACAAGGTCAATGCCGACTTCAAGGTTCGTGTGGGTTTATTGCATCAGCAGGTTACTGCAGTGATGGAGAGAGGTATTACTAAGATGTGGGATCCGGATGTATTGGCCAGCGAACAGCTTAAGTGTATTGGTCTATATGTATGGTCAGAGCTTGTTCAGCCTTTGCAAGAGTACGTTATTACGCTGGTGCATCAGACTTTAGCGCATACTGGGGTAGATAGGATATGGTAGTTCCTGAAGGTGAAGTATGGAGAGGAAGTGTTACGTTCGCAGGTTGTGAAGGTTTTGAAGAGTTGTGTTGCGTGTCAACAAGTTGAGGGGCTTCGTGGGACTACAGGGTTGTTAATGCAGCCTGAGAGGCCGAAAGGGGTTACAGTGTGTATAGGCATGGATCATTTGACCTTGCCAAGGACAGTTCACGGTTTCGAAGGTTTAGTAGTGGCCATAGATCATTTTTCGAGGATGGTGTGGTGTCGGCCATACACGTTGGAAAAGAACAATACTAAAGGGGTATTAGAATTTGTTCAGCAACAAGTGTTGCCTTGGGGTACGTCTAAGAAGGTAGTGATGGATGAGGGTGGTCCGTTCACTTCAGCAGATATGAAAAGTTTCTGGGCAGAGAGAGGTACATAATGCCATTACGTATCAGTAAATAGGCATCAGGGCAATGGTAGGGCAGAGAGGATCTTGCGTACGATTGTGGATTGGCTTGCTAAGAGCTTGCCGGTTGGGGAGGAAACCTTATGGCAAGCATATATATATTCAGTTATGTTAGCGTACAATGCGACAGTGAATTCGGCCACGGGTATCAGCCCATATTATCATGTTACGGGCCGGCATTATACGGGGCAGGTTGGTAGAGTAATTCAGGCGAAGCTGTTAGAGGTGATAGGTTCTGAGCTTCTGAGTGAAGCTGCTGTGCGGGATAGATCGGTGGCCATTAAAGATGAAGTAGCGAAGGAGGCGCAGGTAAAGGCGGCAGGCAAGAATAGAAAAGAGGCACCAGATTGGCAGCCGGGGCAGTTGGTTTGGTATACTGGTAGGTCGAAGGATAGTAAGATGGCGAAAGCTTATTTAGTGAGAGGCACGATTGATATGAGGGAACACTTACAAGGGATGTACAAGGTCAGAATTAATGGGAAGGTTAAGTCAATGCATGTGGATCAGCTTAAGGTGAGGTTAGAGGATCCGAAGCATGAGGCCAGTATTAGAATGCGTAGGAGGGAAGCTTGTTTGATCTGGCTCTACAATTATACTGGTGAAGGGGCAGCTAGTGTTACAGAACTTGATGAAATGGTGGCAGTAATGCGATCAACAAAGATAGGGTGGACTTGGTTGTATGCCATGAATTCAGCTTTTAGTATATATGTTGATACGATAGTCGATGCGGCAAAGCGAGGTGAGAGTAAGGGCGTGGTAGAAGATACTTTAGATTTAGCTATGAACAAGTTGCAGATGTTTTTCCAGATTGCGAGGGATCCGATTTTGCGGAAGGAGCAGTTGAGTAAATGGATGAATGAATGAACTCGACACTAATGTCTTGTTCATTGGGGAGGTGTAATGTCAACCATGTTTACCTCCGATTTAAAATAATGTTGGTGTTGTAAGTACCGAACTGTTCGTTAATGTTCCTGGGCGTTAATAAGAGTGCGAGAACTTCTAAGTGTAGGCGATAACTTATAAGTATGAAAACTAATAAGTTTGAAAAGTTCTAAGTTGTATTGTGCGGTTTGTTGGCGAACGGCCGCGCAGGCTCGAAAGATGAGGAGGTTGGTGTATGATTAGTGCTTTATAATATGAGCTGGAGGTTGGCAGATGACGATATATGTTGAATGGACTTGTAGGCTCGAAATTGAGTAGATACACACGATTTGATTGGCGGCAGGATTCACAAGGGAATCCTTCGGAGATAGTATAAATACGTGGTTTAGTTCATTCAAGAAGTTCATTCTGCTAAGGTAGACGTTTATTCAACTATCAAGGAAATAAAACTAGGTTCACCGTTACATTGTGTTTTGAGTCGATCAAGATTACACTTATTATCTTTTTGTCCAGAGAGGATATAAATATCGGTATTCGGTATTTTACATAAATGCATCAATATATTTTTAAATGAACACTGTTGTTTCATGAAGAAGGCTATGCCCTTTAGTTTGCGTATTTTAAGTACAAGAATGTGAGTTTATTTTTCAAAAAAAAAAAGCAGTATAGAAAGTGTAATGACGCGATAGAATCACATGTTGTGATGGACCTGACTGGCCTCGACATCTATTTCGGACCCAATACCGACCTGGCCCTGCAGGCCTGCACTAGTCTGACAGAAGTGAAATTATAGTATCTTTAGCTTTGGCCTATACAATAGTCGTAATCATGTGTATTAACGCCTCTATTAGAGTAGCAGTTGTGTTTACCATGGATTATCTATGCCCCTACTGAAGTAGCCTGCTTGAACCCCTAGAGGTTAGTCATGAAGCCAATCTCATAAAGTAAACCATAGTGTGTAGTCTACTTCAAATAAACTCTGCCAAATATGCTAAACTTGAATCGAGACACAATGGAGGGTCTATCCGAAATAGATTTTCAAAATTTGGGCTTTGCCTAGGACAAGTGTATATTGTCATATGTTATTTCAATTACTCAGCATGCTTATGGCGAACTTAATACGCATATACCTCCTGGAATGTACTACACTAACTACAGCTGAATTAATAAAACTTGATGCAGTTCACACCTGCTACCCACACTTATGATCAATAGCTAATGCAGCCGCAAAACAAGAAAAAATAGGTTAATCAAAATATTTGTAGAATCAGTATGTATATTCACAGAGAGATTGAATGCGGAGTCTAGACGCTACCCACTGGTGTCAAAATTTTCATCGAAAGTGTTTGATTGATTTCTCGTCGCGTGCAGAAATAAGTGTAGTTCAGTATCCGCCGTGATTTAGGCTCAACATGCAGAATTCATAGGAATCACGTAAATATGAAATATTCGTCCGTGGAATGGCTCCAATCCAGGCTATAGATTGATACTAAGACTATCAGGCATTCAAACAGTTGATATATATTGATGTAGCATATCAGACGATGATCAGCGAACATCGTTAAATGCGCACCGATCCGTGGGGTAATTTCTGTACTCAGCCGATATTCCAACTGTCACGATACATGCAAAAAAAAAGATGTATAAAGTATACGCGGCTATACAAGCATGCCAGAAATCATTTTGGTACCATTTATTAGAGTTGTGCGAGCTCTACTTCTTAGTTCCGAAGCCCCCGCCGCCAGGACTCTCAATTCGTAGTCGATCGCCAGTGCATACAGAGAATGAATTCTTACCCCCCATGTTCATTCGATTACCATTACGTTGTATCTGCGCCAGGAGAGCAAACATTGTACTTCAATATATAAAGATATCAATTGGCTGTATATATTTCGTCCAAAGATAGAATGCGTACTAAAGTTCTTTGCACTACTTGGCGAATTCGCAGGGTACTGCGCACTTGCGCATCACCCATTGGGTAACAAGCAACACGCATCGTGCGTAATCTAGACTCACGACTGACCGTGTATGTTCACGATTATTTTGAGTTACTATACATATACTCCTCCAGGACAAGACTACCAAACACATAGCCCGGGACAAATAAGGTACTTAGTACCCAAGAAGATCAACTACAATGACCTTTGAAACAGAAACAATGTGTATGATAAGGACTGGATCCACTTTATCCAACATAAAACGAATTAAACTGGATTGACTTTCTAAACGCAGTCCTGATATATGCCTGCACATACAACTGTGCAAACAGACCCCCACAGTGAATTCGTTTTATATCAAGCTTCCCGGTTCTATGCCAACCAAATTCATACCAGCAAATTGTGCCCCCGCGCACCGGGCTGTCCCCCGTCCAGTCCGTACGGCTGAGTTACGCGACGCTCAGTCAATAACGATACCGTCAGCTTACGGCGGAACTCAATCTCTCGTATTACACCATCGCCACTGTTGCGAGAGAGAAAAAAAGGACTGGTCAGATTTCAATTACAAATGTTATGTCTACAGGCCAAATCACGTATAGTATTGCACAGATTGCGAGAGCGAGGTCCAATAGGCGAGGAATTGTCGAACTTGAAATTTATACCCACGTGACATTACGTTTTAGTAAACGAGTGTTTTCAACACCTGTATATCAGCACACCTAGGCAAACGAAATCACCGTAAAGCACAGAGGTCTTGCGCTGGTACACTATTTCGATACGATACTGGGGTAGAAGATTAGCCTGGCAAGTGTCTAGTACAACATGAGTGCGACACATCCAGTCGCCTTCTCGGTTCAAAGCAGTTTAGCTCTGTAAATCTAACAATAAGCGTACCCACGGAAGCGGCCGGCGCCCCCGGAGTTCGCCCGTAAACTGAATTGACGAAGTATCATTGGATAGCGCTGTTCGAGAATCTCGGGGTCGGTGATTCTGTTCAGTTGTGGGAAGTAGCGTTTGGAAGTCAGAGAAGCAATCTGACTCATACCATGTGTCAGAAGACTAGATACACAATTTATAAGATGTACAAGTGTAGACCACCTATAACGCATGTGCGGATGCAAGGCAAGCAATCTGACTCACACCATGGCCAAAAGAATAGATATACACTTTTATAAGATGTATGAGTGTAGACCACCTATCACACATGTGCGAGTGCAAGGCAAGCAATCTGACAGGAGGTTGCACTATTCTCGTCTCTCACCAGCATTGGATTGTTTCCCATCACCACTGACACCTTGATCAGTGCTCACAGGCATACCTTGTGTTGGTCATGTGGGTATGTACACCACTTCGGCCATGCCACCCGGGACCAGCCCCGGAGCCACCGGATATAGTTTCATAATAGCCGAATATGTCGTCGCCCAAAGTCAGATTATTCATGCATCCCTGTGAAAACGACGGGCAGTGGATTTGATTGAGCGAATATACACAGAAAAAACAGGCAAGGTCCCATCAATGCACTGAGAATGTAGATCGTAGAAATAACCTGGAAATGCACTAACAAGAAAATACGTCCAGTACTGCATGCATCACCATGTTTCAGGTAGTCCATATACACTCTAATACTCACCACTTGCTCTCACACACTCAGCGCTTGTACCTGTGATGCTGAAACCGCTCCGAATGCGCGGAAGATGGTGTCTACCACTCGTTGAGATGTGAGCACGTTGCCACCTACCACGGCAGCATGGGGTGATGGGGAAAGCAGACTGTTGTCTGGTACAATCACTTCTACCTGAATAATACATTTTTTTGAAGTATGCACGGTAAGTCGTGAACTGTATCACTAATGTTATGCATTGGGATATGGACCGAGTGGATTAACTTCGGGTATGATCACTTCTACTTGAGAAAGGCTGTTTTATACATATGCAAATTCTGCCACACATACTATGTATATGAATATTCCAAAGAGCGCGAACGAACCTGGGCATATATGTTTTACGTGGGGTGCATTCTCAATATAAGACACTCCGCACTGGTATGGTCAAAGACACTTGCAATCCGCGAGTACGAAAGCATGAGTATGTAACTGAACTAAACACAACAGACATTAGATGAGCGCGAGACAGTCGCCAGTACTATTCCGACGGGGTTTCTCGTAGCTGCTTTGCCCTTTGCTGTCCACGAGATGAACTGCAGTGCACTCTCGCTCAGAAAGCACCAGACCTAAGCTCGTGATGGCTAGCCATATCAAGAGCATCGATAACGCCTCAGATACGTACCGGGTCTAAACAGCCCTGGTTCAAAGGCACATCCTCGCGGATCAAACATCGTAGGCAGTATATAACCGCCGAGTACACTATAGATTTCGGTGCGTTGAGGTTGCCGTAGACTTGCTCGGTAGTTCCATTGAAGTCGAATACCTGTGATTGCGGTGTTGATATAGCAAAGGTGAGAACTCGATTTCCCGATAAAAGGGAGGAGACACCGCCGGCAGTCTGCGTCTCGGCGAATATATTGAATATAGATTTAGGCGTAATAGTGTTCCCGATACTCGGTAAGTCAATTAAAATAAAATAACGTGGGAACGCGGTGTTGATATGACAATGATAAAATAAAATCGGCCAATAGAGGTCTCTCGTATCTCAACCGTATCGGTCCTGGTCAACTTCGGTGGTAAACTCCGAGATCAAAGATTCAACTATCATCAAACCGTGAGTCGGTTATGATGAGGATTAGATATGAGGTAACGAACCAATGGGAGAGCGAGAATCATTCATCTCATCTCAGGAAATACCATATCTAGTGTACTACTGCCGTTTCGCAAAGTGACGATCAGCGTTTGCAGGTTGACAAAAAATAGATGCAAGCAGACGGTGCGACGTATGAATAATAATAGCTTATATATATATATATATTCCTGGAATGATAACACACACCATGAAAAAACACGCACGAGGACAGTCACATAAATATCGGATTCCCAAAATTCCTGATATGGAATAGGGATAGAAAAGGCGACAGCCTCGCCTCAGCTTCGCACTCCGCAGTGCAGCATACGATATCAATAGATCCACCACTAAATCACAACCACAACCGATGAGTGGACAACAACAGTAAGTTACGTTTGTCGAAGGGCATGATAAATAGATATAAAACAATCTTTAGCCTCGACTTTTTGTGCATTCCCAGGTGCACCATAAACATAACTACGAACACACAACTAAGAAGAAACCCAACACACGGATGGTCCATGAGAAGAAGCACTTTCCCAGGTGCACCATAAACATAAACTACGGACACATAAACTAAGAAACCCAATACATGGATGGTCCACGAGATGAAGCACTTTCCCAGGTGCACCATAAACATAAACTACGGACACATAAACTAAGAAGAAACCCAATACATGGATGGACCACGAGATGAAGCACTTTCCCAGGTGCACCATAAACATAACTATGAACACACAAACTAAGAAGAACCCCAACACATGGATGGTCCACGAGATGGAGCACTTTCCCAGGTGCACCATAAACATAACTATGAACACACAAACTAAAGAAACACAATATATGGATGGTCCACGAGATGAAGCACTTTCCCAGGTGCACCATAAACATAACTATGAACACACAAACTAAGAAGAAACCCAACACATGGATGGACCACGACATGAAGCACTTTCCCAGGTGCACAAGAAACATAACTAAACACGCCAACTAAGAAGAAACCCGACACATGGATGGTCCATGAGATGAATTTTGGTCATCAGTGCGTGTGATATATAGCGCTAGTAAAACTTACAGCCGTTCCGTCGGTCGTATTGATACTCACTGCGAGATTTATGCGCGATCCGTCATCCATGAAGTCCTCCGCACTGAAGCTTACAGATTCTGTCAGTCGGATGAGACGCAGAACGTTCAGTGCAGATTAAGATGATAGACATTTGCAAAGACACAGAGAGATGCATCTGCTAAATTTGAGCGAGAAACAGAGTGTATGCAGCGTATCGCCAGTAACTGAAAAACTGTACTGCCACGGAGCTTGGCTGAAAGGAAACATAGATATACATAAAATGCCAGTGCATGCGGTAGGTTTAATCAAAGGTTAACACAGAAGGTGGATTCCTCACAATAGATGTGAGTTGAGTATGTACATGCGATCAAACAATCACCGAAAGAACGAGCACCATTAACAATCACACACTACTAGACCCCGCAGCACAGCGATGATACACTGAACAATTGTAAACAATCCAACTGTGGCTGCGCTTCTATTGAAAGTCTGATACTTGTGAAATAGGAAGGCAAAGTACTGCTGCAGTCCTAAAACAAAACCTGGTGATCCATACCTTGGCCGTCCTTTGCCAGTCGTCGCCCCACCTGTTTGAGCATCTCCCGGACAGCTTCTGCGGCGTGTTTCTGGATGTGGTACATGTACGCATGCACGTACGCACGCCCGTACTCCTGCATCAGCTCCTGGACTAGGCTGATCCCTTGATTATTGGCAGCAACCTTCATACGGGGTGTAGGTAAATCTACAATGTGAGCACCGTATCCCACATGCAGAAGATTTCCTCGAGTATATCGCAGCACATACTACTCTCCGAACAGACGGCACGCGAGCCAACGTACCGCAGACATTGAAACTTGTACGTACACGAGTGCATGCTCCAGACAAAGACGCATTTAACTTTTAAGGTTAACACCATCACATCTTGTCCAACACTCCTGCAGACCTTTCCGCTAATGTGCGGTCCAGATACAACCCATATCTGTATTGACACATGACAATTAGTGGTGTTGTGTTGTGCTGTGTATACCTGAGCTTGAAGATCCGACAAATTGTCGCTCAGATTGCGAGTCTTGGCGTCTGTCAACAGTTGAGTGATTCCTTCCTCCTGGAACACGTACTCACGGACTAAGAAGTAGGATTTAATAGCCACCCCCTCATCCTCAATAGTCCGGCTGTGCGGTGGCATTGACCCGGGTGTAATGCCACCTATATCCGAGTGATGGCCTCGGGATGCGACAAAGAAAACGATCGAGTTGCTGCGTTTGCGAAATGCATTGGTGTACAGGAGTTAGTCTTGCACTGTGCGAAGTTACTTCGAAGCCAATGTCAGTCTACTCAAACGTCATTGCGAGATTGAGAATGGTAAGCCAACTACATCAGATTACTGTTGAGTGCTGGATATATATGTGATGGAGGTGATGAGAAGACATGCCTCGACGAATGTCGGAAGCTTGTGTATACAATGGCGTGATACACAGGTAGGAAAAGTATGAGGAGCGCCAAAAAACGAATACGAGCGCGATTGAGATCCATATGAGACTTCCACACATACATATAGTTTTTCCGAATAGGGGTTAGTCATTGTTATCGTAGGCAATTAACTACGTCACATGCATACAACTCACCCGTCTTTCTCGAATATCGGTGTTATCACAGTGATGTCCGGCAAATGACTACCACCGGCGGCAGGATGGTTTGTGACGAGCACATCCCCAGGCCTCATTTCTAACGGTGACATCCACATCATGGTAAGAAAATTAAGTATATTTTGATTAGTCCTGCGAAAGGCGAGGTTCCCCGGTGGGAGAACTAAGTATAGTTTATGTAGTCCTGCTAAAGGCTAAAGTTATTGAGTGCTCCTCAATATACTTCTGTCAATATGTTGTTGACAATTTGTTTACCAGCGATTGAGATTATGGCAAAAGCCTCGTGGGATTAGTGTTGTGTACGTGTTTCAATCCCGACTGGCAACTACTCGATATGCTGTTTCTTTAATTCAGAATGCACGGGCAGAAAAACCAACCGCCTTACAATTGACAGCACACACAAACTGAAATTAGACTACAAGATCATCAATGAGTAATGATACTACAAGATCACCAATGAGTGCTCATTCTTCTGAGCTCTTTACAACTGACATTCTATCAAATGATGCTGTCTAGGACGAGTCATCATGCTGTAGATGTCTATGCTTTTGACGTACTGTGTGACAGCGCAAAGAAGCATAGAGATTTAATTGAACTTTCAGGCACTGAGAACAATAGAAAGATTGATCCAATACGTAGCAAATATAGGCAGATAAACTGAGAAACAGAAAAGTGACATACACTTGTGGTGAAGATCAATGTCTCGCAGAAACCCATTTAAACACACCTGCTGCACGTTGCTGTATTTGGTACTGGATCGCTGCCTGCATAGATCCCAAATGTACCGGAATATGCGGTGCGTTTGCTACCAACCCACCGTCAGGGCTGAACAGAGCGCACGAGAAGTCCAATCTGATGAGTTGCAGAGGAGGGGATAGTGGGGTGAATACTTGAGGGATGCTCATATTTTGGATTAAGCTCGTTAGCGACAGATTGGCAACGGATAGACAGTAATTTGGGCAGCAATCGCGCCCAATACATGCCTCGGTTCGTCAACCTGTGCAATGCGTAAGTACGTCAGCGGACGAATACTATAAATAGGATAGGAGGTACAGTCTTCTAGTTACGACGCACGACCAAGCATACCTTTCTTTGATGTTAGTGGAGATAGAGGTACGTTGTAGCACCCTTCCCATCTGTTCAGCTATGCTCATGAATCTGTGCGAGAATACACCCAGCATGATTGGGTCTACCTTTGACCCGTCGTTCCGACTCTTTGCTATGTCCCCTCGGTCCCTGCAGATATTGAGAAAAACACAATTAATACGACAAATCATAGAATGCCAGTATAAACTTCAAAATGAATTTTCAAGGTTGTCAATAGCCATAGATCGGAGGGCAGGAGGGCAGTATGTTTCAAAACACTCAATTTTCTGATTCATTCGCACAATGAAGTTGTTCCATCGCCTGGTCGTCAATTAAACATTTCCGTTATGTAGCAATCGGGTCTCAGAACAAGATGAGTGCTAAATTAACTTGACAAAAAACTTCCTCGACCTAATGCGCTTTAGGATTCTAATCCTCAAGCTATATACAAAACCAAATCATAAGCTAAAATCGAATCTAAATCTCGAGCTAAATACGAATCTAAATCTTAAGCTAAATACGAATCTATATCTTAAGCTAAATACGAATCTAAATCTTAAGCTAAATACGAATCTAAATCTTAAGCTAAATACGAATCTAAATCTTCAGCTAAAAACCAATATTAATCTTAAGCTAAATACCAATCTTAAGCTGAATACGAATCCAAAACGTTTTTACACACCCCAGCTTGATCTCCGTGTTGCCCTTGTCGGTGATGTAAGCCGTACAGTGAGGTTCCACTAAGAGAGTGGACAGTTGATCGAGAATGATGGCTGGGCCCTCCACTACAGCATTCGGTGGCAATTCAGAAAGTTTGTACAAAGCGGTGCTGCGCGCCCCACCTTCGAAGTAGCACTCCACATGTGGCTGGGAATCTCGGTCGGGAGGTGACTGGTTATTGGCTGCCAATGTACTGGGTGTTTGTATGGATAAGTATGGCGAGTGTGTGCGAGTGAGGGAAAGTACGTGGGAGCCGGTAGGTAGAATCACATGTACATGTAAACCCCCGCAGGTAAAGATCAAATATTCCTAGAGCCAGCAAACGAACCGATTTACTCTAGGATGATAATTTAGGACCCACACTGGAGAAAAGGATACTCCATTTCGTGCGAACAATACACAGCAGGCTAGAACCGTTTTTCTCGCACCATTCGTGATACTAATAAAGCCGTTGAATGTACTAGTTATTGACTGTCTTGGAATAGTCACTTTTATCACAGCTAGTGCTTTCTGCTTCACATCAATCAGTTCTTAGAAGACAAAGCTTTTGTTGACCGGCGATCACCATCCAGTATGCTAAGGGAAGTACCTAAACCTATTCAATGGTGCATAGCACTGTTTAATACATAACACTGTGGCCTATTCTCGCGTAAGGCATGAATTTATCCTGCTCCAGTACTATATCATCTTACCTTCGCTCATGGGTCTTTACACTTGCCGATGCTCGCACGCGTACATTGTCGATCAATATCGGCCTGGCACCAATAACAAATCCGAATTCCTGCTTGTACTCTCTCAAGAATGCAGTCGCAAATCCGCCCATTGCAATCTCATCCCAGTTCGTCCTGAGGCCTACATCTACCAGTTCGGGACTTTCGACCATTAAAGCACAATCGGTCTTCTCATAGCTACAAAGATGTGGAGACAAAGAATGTGGATATCGTTAAATACTGAAAGCACCACGCTCTGTACGTATGCAACTTAGCCGACAGTGTTGCTATGGTGATACTGCTGCATCAAGCCGGGAGAAGTTTGCTATTCGTGATAAGGTAGTATGTACCACGCGAAAGGTTGTTGAATTACTATCGCAGTCTGCCATCCCATCCACTTCAACTGATTTCTAGCGGTTGACTGTGCTGATGAAACGATTGGATCCTCCAGTGAAACAAGAAATCCGCATTCAAGAAAATTCAAGCACAAACATATACACCTCGCCCAGGAGAGTGTGACTAAAGTGAGTGAGCTGGGAATAATTTCACAAACCACTATACATGGATATTGTCAAATCAATTAATACCGATTGAACCACCGGATGCACATACCGCATATGCAGAAACAATCTGAGCGATATATCGTCCTCGCTGAAACCCTTCGCAGTCAGTACACCCGACGCTTCTGTGCACAAGCGCTGCATTCTGTCTCTTAACGACGAATACGTATCTTCACCGTACACGCACGACACGGGTTCCTGTGCCTCCTCAACCACATCTGCGAGCGACAAACCGTAAGCTGATAGAATACCAGCATATCTGCACATGTGGATGGAAGGTTTAATATGCGATGACAGACGTAGTGAGTGTTCAGCAAGCAAGCCAGCCGTAGTCCACATGGTATTCGAAGGTGATCAAATCAACTATATACATTCATACGAACTATGTAATTATGCATGTACGATTACTATCTGTAGTTAACCGGCCACTATGTTTGATTTTCTGGCATAAAGCTTTTCTGACGGAGGGTTATAAAATAACAGTCCTCTAAAGGTAAGCATATGTCAAGTTAAAACTTGCCCACATGTGGGGAGAATAGATCTGTGTATATTGAGCGTACGCAAATGTGTACAATCTTACGAGTATGGTCATTGCGTATGGTATTCATCTTTGTGATTGCCACGGGTCTACAATAGACAGCAAACGTAGGAGTGGAACGAGCAACGCTGTTCTTCAAGAGTGCAGACATGCACAACTGAGCTCCACTCTAACGCACAGTAATCCTATTTGGATCTCCAGATTCATATTCCCTTTTTTACATTTAGTATATCAACTCGCACAAAACCACAACGCCTCCTTTACTTAATTTTCAATAGCACACACAATGTTGCAACGCAAGTAGACACAGCCACGATGTATTGACTCTTCACTAATCAGAACTTTAATCAGACATTCAAAAACGCAAAGCACATACGCACGCACACGACCATTGTCCGTCAGCAAAGATAAGCGCGTATAGCCGCATATGTGTAGTTTCATTTCTGTCAATACACATCTAAGTTAAGACAAATTGACTCCTTACTTATGAATTTTGATGCGTCCCATCCCGAGATTCCTTGCCACAGCGCACGCGTGTTGACCGCCAGCGCCGCCAAAACAAGCGAGCACGTGCGTTGTTGTGTCATGGCCTCTCGCTTGAGTGAGCGCCCGAATTGGCCGACACATAGCCTCGTTTGCCACTTTGATGAAGCTGTTGTTACAACGAAGCGATATAAATGGTGGAAGAATCAACAATCTGGGTCTGGGAATAGTGTGTGTGATTGCCGGGTGCGGTACACTCCGCTCTGGAACGTGTAGATATGGACATGATTGATGATATCTCACGCGCGAAGAACTGTATTTGGTATGTTGGTCATGTCCTTTCTCATTTTTCCCCAAACCTTTTCCGATGCGAATGCCTCGAGTTTCCTAGAAGTAACTATGCTGTGACTATATGACCCTTTTAGTGGTACACGAGGGCGGCACAGACGTACAAGTGATTTGGAACTCAGCTGGTCTCTTGGGCGCAGACCGGTAACCGGTTTGAGAAGTACAGTCACTCGGTCGTTCAGTCTCAAGAATTGGATGTAAAACCATGCATCACCCGATGTTTACATAAGTAAAGCTTTTCATTTCTTTTATCGCACAATCCAATTTTATCCAATCGTATTTAATCCAATTCACCACGTTGGGTTCTCCGTCTCCAGTGACAATACTCTGGCGCACAAACAAATACATACACGAGCGTACAGGCCACGAAAGAAAAATGCAAGTTCACATTTTTATTAGCAACGACACATACATACGACAACCATACCCGAGCGCGACGTCCTGTGGGCTCAGATGAGTGTACGTCCCTTCGCCCGCATAGTGTTCCTTATTGAATGAATTGATCTCAGACGTGAAAGCGGTAAAGGCCGCGCGAGTACCTGCAACGGGTGTGGTGTGTCTGATGTATTTAGAAAGGCGCTGATGACCATAGTTGTAGGATACAGTACCAGATTATTCAGGGTATACCTTCAGTATGCATAACTTTGTACTCTGCCAACTCTGGTACAACATAGGGGCCTGGTTCACTACTGCAGAAATTATTCGTGCCTACAACGGCACATGTGGTTTTGATAACAGAGGACCCACTAAGTGCGACCAATAAAGTTGGCACCAAAGAATCAATACAACACCATATAGTGATTCAGCCGCGCAGGTGCGACAACTTTCAGTGCGAGATTCCTTGACTTGATAACATTTGGTTTGCACCATTGACACATATGAACACGTATACGATAATCGGAAGCGATCTAACGGAGAACCGGACTAAAGCAAACAAATGCTATAATATAAAGAAAATAATCTGTGAAAGCAACATAGCATATTTCGATAAGAATTGCAAAGAACTAGTATGGCCTTCGGATATAATTCAACATGTGCGAAGTAGCATGGATATGAAGAAGTGCCCTACATTCGGACTAAGTAGAGACTCATAACAAGCAAGAGTGAGCCAACAAACAGACAAAGACAAATGGGCAAGGTGCTTTCGACTGATAATAATGGAAGCTCTGTACACCCGGTATCAAACTTAGAATGTAATCTCGACTACAGCATAAGGGAAGTTCGTACCTTCGACATCCAGGGGTAGATCTTCGTTCGGCCCAAAGATGGATGGGAATTGGTCCGCTCTTATACGACCAAGCAGTAGATTGGCATCTGTCACTGCCAAAGGCCCTCCTATTCAGTTTAAACAAATCAGGATTCAAAAGATGAGGACATTTGCTTAGTGTTGTGTTGTGCCCAACCCGGCTCACGGGTATATACAGTACATGCACCTAAACGTACCTGATGGTATTCACTGACGTAGCTAAGCCGCGTACGTGTGCGATGCTCAACTTCGCACATGCAAGGATATAGAGAAGTCCATCGCTAGCAGCAGGTGAAGAAAGGTGCGTACTTTAGCTCTATTTGATAGTGCAGGCGGCCGGCTCGAGCCGCCCTAGTGTTGAACACAAGAGTGTCTCTGCTGGCTATAATGAACTACTAGATTGCCAGTTGTTGCTTAGCTAAGCAAAGTCACATATAGTGTTCTACTAGAACTATCATCCCACTCCTTCAGAATGCATGCCACTATTACCCATTATCTTTGCAATAACAGGCCTCTAACACACATTACCTTTACGATAACAGACAGGTTTGCGATAACTGGCCTCTAACACACATTACCTTTACGATAACAGACAGGGCCAGGATGTGCGCCCACCGATTCAGGTCCGACCACAAACATGCCAGAGCGGAAGAACAATCGACTGCCGCCTCCAGCTGCTACTGTGTTGATGTCTAGTTGAGGAGCCTGTGGTTGACGTAGCACGTGAATGAGAGAAGGCCAAAAGTGAGATGTAACGAAAGGGCCAGCGGAAACGACGCTGGGTGGTACTTGACAGGGGTAGTAAGCTCAGAAGCTACTGGAATTTTTTGAAGGCAGATTTGGTTGATTGATGAATAATGGCGTCACAAAATCGCTTTGGCAATCGCACTATTCCTAAGTTGTGATGTAAATACTTTTATTTCTTTGCACGCAGTAATCACCTGGATGGAGATTCCAGCGGTAATGGTCTCAAATACATGGTCGAAGCTACCTGCAAAGCGAGAAACGTCTGTTGAAGTGCCACCCATGTCAAATCCGATAACAGGCGAGGGCGAATCCAGTCTCGGTTTTTTGGCCTGAACCTCCGGAAGTAAGGGCAGAGAGGTTTAGTTCAAACGAATTCTGTTCTGAAGCCCACCATGAGTGATCTCAAAAGCAAACCATACAGTTACTCGATCAGAAATTACATACCGTTTATGCGATTAGTACAATATGACAGTGGGTTTCCGATCAACGCTCACAAGTATACTGCAGATTGAACCGGTATATCGCCCTTTCAAACACCCGCATTAAATACAAACGAATGTGGTGGCAAGTATCATCAAATATGGTGCTGTGAACCACATAAAGGTATATATTCTAGCACTGAACCCCCGCACAAGCCAATATCTTGACGAGAAGTAATACTATACACCCATAGAACTTTCGCGCACTACATTGATCAGTGACAGATATCTGATGCGATGCGTGTTATAAGCTAGTTCACACTCCCCTCACCTTTGACTCCAGCGCTTCATCGATCTTATCCGTATCGTAGTATGCGGCTTTAGAATAGCCAACCACGCCGCCTGCAGGCCCACTTAGAATAGCGCGAGCGCCGCTGAAGTCCTCCATGGCCGTCATTCCACCGTCAGACTGCATAAACATTACACTCACCTGCAGTACCAGGGTATGCGAAGATAGCGACAGTAGAATGAGACCATTGTGTAGGTATGTCAACGCTTGAACTATTTTAAGAACAGAATTGAAATGAGGCAGATAGATTGTCGCTGATTATACTACTATAGAAGAACTGACAATGTACTCGCGCGGTGGTATAACATAAACTCCCAGCATATATGAAGAAAATGGGCATTACATTTTGAGAAATCAATTCCCACTTCCCGGAGCCAAATGCTCGATAACGTGAACGGTGACAGCAGCAACAAGCACATAAGAACATACACCCTGAAGTCCATTCTCGAATCCACTGCAGAAGCCCTCCACATAGCGTTTGATGCAGGGGGTCAGGTACGCATCCGCACAAGCTGTGTACCCTCTCGGCACAATCTTGGCCATGGGCATCACAGTTGACGACAGTGACACGTGCGTGAACCCGATGTCCTTGGCGATCTTTTCTATGCGTTTCTCGTGTGTCTGGAACGTATACGAGTGCATCAGGGCCACTGCCAGGCTGCGGATGCCGCGTGCGTACACTTCCTGCAGTTGCTCACGTACTTGCGTCTCGTCTAATCCCTGAACAAAAATAAGTAGGCCATAGATATCTCCCATGAGAGTCTACAGATGTCCGTTGGATACAACATCCCCATCGCTAAACAGCAGAGATGATAAGAACTCGGTACTTTGTGTAGGTGCGCTAAAAAACCTGTCTATGTCCAGTATGCGAAAGCAATTGTTTTGATACAAGATTGTCTGAAAGCGAAGACAGCCTACACAGTTTAATTACGCACCTCATTTTAGCGTGAGGACCAAATATGAGCACATATATGGTACGGTGCACATGTACATGCAATCTCATTGATACTCAAGCTGTCTTTGTGTATTCTTATACAAAGACTCTCTATGCACACAAAGCTACGAATAAATGTTACCTTCTCAATGATGAGACGATCTCCTGTAACCCCCTCCTCCTCCTCTCCCGTAATGCCGTCCTGCTCATTCTGTTGCAGGACTACACGCTCATCCACCTCAATGACACTCTCGTGAAGCACCTCAGGTATCTCCACTCTGCAATGAAATAATTTAAAGATTGTGAAGTGTAAACCGCACTATCAATGAGTGGCGCGAAAATCAGCAACTCAAAGTGGCAGACACACCCTGCTTATGATGCATGGATACTGAATTACCGCTGCACGTATTCGCGCGTGTGTGCTGGCCGTAAGTAGATAGTCCCCAGATTGGATGATTCTAAGAGAAGTTGTAAGATTATACATAATAAGCTTGATTCAGTATAGAAGAATAGCTTGTGTCCTGATGGATGTAATCTACTCAGAAAAATGTGGAGCCGTGTGCCGCGAGCGAAGATACCGACCAACAGGTGGGAGACTCGTCAACATATGGTGGTTGTTTGCGCGAATACATATATTTGCTTTTCTTATGGAGACGTTTACATAGTTGTTTGTAATATCTGAATCCAAACTTACCTGATGTCGAAGATATTAGGTCTTGACTGCGTGCCGATGTGGAGTAGGTCCTTGAAGCCTTTAGTCGTTACAAAAGTGAAAGGTTCGCCCTTTCTTTCGAGAAGTGCATTCGTGGCGACGGTTGTACCCATGCGTATCGATCCAATCCGGGCGCTTTTGACTGCAATTTTGGTAAAAACCCCAGCGCATAATGAATCGAAATCGCCTCCCAAATGAAATGTCACTCATACGCGGCGCTTAAGTAATACTGCATTGTTGTCTGTCTCCAGTGTATACAAGAAGTTCAACAATCACTTCTGAGGATACACCATGTACGGTCATGGATACAGTGTTACCTCCACCCTATTGTGCAATAGCATCAATCGAACTCAAATCGATTGCGACCTAGCTGACTTTAAACAATTACGAACACCCCCTGAAGGCCACAAACGATACTTCAGGTACAACCTGATACTGCCACAACACTTCTTTATACAATCGTACAAGTCGTAGAACCCCAGAGTTTGACCAATACATTAGAGCGAGAGGTGGACGCAAGACACGCAGGGACCCCCACTACACGGAACATTCGCGTGAAAGTACAAGCACAATTATAATCAACCTGGGGCGGCTGCTGGGTACGGTTCTCCGGTAGCTACCTCCAAGATTCGCCGGATACCTTCCCGTGGTGCATCTGGATAGTTCGCCGGATCTTCTGAGAGCAACTTGAGCACTCGCGTCTCACCCCCAGGGCATTCAGCGTAGACATCTGGATACGTTCGTGTTTGAGGTTTCGTATAATTTACGGAACCTTTGCTTTACGCGAGCATTCCAGACTTTCATTTACAATACAACTGCTTGTCGTGAGAAAGTGAAACCTACATATATGCATTCAGGCATCAAGCAACCAAATGAATCTATTCGTAACTAGTCGATGACAGCACACTGTCCAAATGTGTCCCTGTGCATTCACCTCTGAATCCGAAATAACACATCTCCAGAGTAGAATAAAATAACATTTGTGTTAAGCTGTGTTCGTATCGAAAGCGAAACGCGTTCCTCTCCAACACCACGACTAAAATAGGGATATATATATATGTATATATATATATGTATATATATATATATATACAGACACACACACATATATATATATATATATATATATATATATATATATATATATATATAGTGTGTGTGTGTGTGTGTGTGTGTGTG